TAAAGGAATTCTCCAGTGACCTTATAGGTTACATTGTCTGGTGCCTAAAACAATCACATTTTCCACTTTTTAAGTTCCTATTATTTGGGGGTATTTCTCTTCATCTTGATAAATGTTGACAGAACGTAAAAACAAATGAAAATAAATCCAAGATTTTATCCTCGAAGAAATCTGATGTATTTTATAAATATATCAGAATGTTGTAAATGAACCAAACCAAACCGAAAACCACGTGTTAATGAGCCAATGACTCAGGCATGTAATCCCATCATCATCATCATCATCATCATCATCATCATCATCATCATCATCATGGATGTAGGCATCCTCTTCAGCATCCAGGATCAAATTCGAAACTCTCCAAAATAAAAGCAGTGGGCGGGGTTATCTTACGAGCGTACATTCGTGACGACCAATCAGAGCCTCCGAACAGAGACGCACCTGAGTAGCTGCCAAAGCGAGAGGCGGACCGGCTCTATAAAAGCCCGACTCTCACATGTCCTTCACCCAGCATCGGTCTACTTCAAGTCGGATCTACATCTCACCCCCCAAAAAAACCCCACACCTCCCTCTTTTCTCCGGAGCAAGCATGCACCTGAGCGCGTACGAGTCGTGCCATTCCTTGGTCGTACTTTGCATCCTCCTGAGGAGTTGCCAAGCCCTGAAGAACGACGCCACGGAGCTCCTGTTCTCGCATGTGAGCGCGTCGGTGCCGGTGCCCGAGGTTCAGAGCAACGTGACCCTGAACCGCGCACGGAACGGCGGGAGAGGAGCGGCTGGCGGCGCGGCGCACGACAGAGGCGGTGAGTGAGGAAGCATCCTGCCCGGTGCGGAGGAGGACCGGAGGATGCTGTCAGTATAGGGACTGTAACGGGTGTGTGTGGTGCTCCAGGATCAGTTACAGACAGAAGCTGTTCTGTTACTAATGTAGAATATTTGTCTATGACTTTTATTTCCAGGGGTTATCTGGGCGTAATTTGCATGATATTAAACAGTTGTGGTATTTGACTACTAGTATCTGGATGTGGCGATGGATTACTGTGGTCTAAGTGCCTATTTGTAGTAGTTTATGTAGCCTAAGGACCAGGAGGAACAGAGCTTGCAGAAAATGCAATTTCCCCAAGATGTTCCTTTTTTAAAATCTTCCACTTTATTTGATTTCTTCATTCTTCTTTACTGAAAAGTTCATGCAGCCAAAAGCTCTTGGTAAAAAGTTTAGTAATCAAAGTCTTTCACATCTACATTTCAAAAGAGGGACCCATTAATCAGGCACTTAATCTCATCATCCTTCCATCATCCTTCACACCCACTTACCACCCTCTTTAAAGAGGAAAACACTTTAAAGCTGTTATTTGCAAAAAGTAACGTTTGTATATCACACAAATCCTCCAGTTGTAGATTAGTAAATGAATGTAAACTTACAATAAAGTCTTGCACAGACATTTTACAGTCAGATTACTTTATAAAAAAGTCACTGATGCCACAATCATAAGACCATACAGTGGCTCTGCTGCTGAGGTTGTTTGCCTGCCCATCACCTCAGTGAGCTGAGGCAACACTCCAGTGTAACACACACCTGGCTGGCTGTCGTCCAGGCAGGGATGAGACGGGCCGAGGAGCCGACTGGGTGTCAGTGCGGCTGAATGGAGGTGTTCTCCCGTGAACAGGAAGCCTCTGATTGTGGCTCTCCCAGCAGCCGCAGACCGTGACGGAGGGGAGGAGGGGGTGAGGGGGGTGAGAGATCCAGAGAGAAAGAGAGAGAGAGAGAGACAGAGGCTGTTCATTCATCAAACACTGTGACATAGAAAAG